TTTGCCTTTATAATTACGCATGCAAATTTAGGATTTATTATCAATAAATTTAGTTATTGAAATTTAAACAGAAATTATGTCGTTAATGTGGCAAAGATATGACTAATATTTTGAATATAAAAGATAGTTTAAGAAATTATTACGATAGTGTTGAATTGTAGATGTTGATATTATTCAACATCTACAATTCCGCAATATGTCATAAATTTGGTTTAATAAAAGAAATGACAGTTTTGTATTTTTTGACGGTCAGTCTTGTATTTTGACAACTTTGTATTTTTATGACGGTCAATCTGATGCAATTTCCATTAATTTTAATATTATTTTAATGAAGTCTTTTTAGAGAGCAAATTATTAATAAATATATTTTAAACTGTCAAAATTTAATTTAACAATAGAATTATTTGGGTTTCAATTTATTTTAAAAAATATAATTTTTAAAATTATTTAAATGCTGTCATAATTATAATAAAACTGTCATAATTATAATAAACTGTTTTAATTCAAAAATATTGTTGTGACATTAACAAAATCCTACTATAATAAAATTTTCAATACCCGCACTGTTATATTGGTGTATATACTCTACTCATCAATATAATGATGAGAAAGAGAGTGTCAAATTTTTTTTTGTATTCTGTGTAAAATACCCTCTTTTTAGTTGATGTACTCAATTATAAATTCTTATTTTGCTTTCATTATTATCTTAACAGTATTATAAAAAAAAATTCTTTACTATGTATGTATATGAATTATTTTTTTTATTTACTACATTAAATGCAACACTGGACGATAATTGTGAACTTGTCAACTAAAATGCAGTACAAAATGACAACCATATTTTTATTACAATCATACTGTACTGTCATAATGATGAGCAAATAAACTACTATCATTATGAATTGTAACTGTAGGTACTCTCATATAATGAGTGAATATAATGAGTGATGAGTTATTATTATTAATATTTATACTCTTCTTACAATTCTATATTATTTCACCTTTTATTCAAGGTTAGAAGAGAGATTTGTATTATGTTATGATATGATACTGTTATATTCATAAAGATGATGTATATAATGTATGGTGAATGATAATAATATTACTGGTAATGAATGCTCTTATTAATACTAATAATAAGATGAATATAATATTACTCTCATTTATTCAATATAGATTTACAATTACATTTAAATTTAAACTGTTCTTAATAATTAAGCATATTTTTGATACCTTTACGATATATTAAAATTAATTTAAATATTTTGTTATAATAACACTCCATTTACATATTTATATAATATATAAGTATACATACGTCATAATATTCTTTAAGTGGGTTGATATTTATATTGTATACGGACTCATAAATAAATAAATATATGGTAATACCTCATTATAATATTGTATTCTACTCTAGGCAACTCTGGGCATTAATACTCAATGAAGAATAACAAAAAATATGAAAAAAGTTGAACTAATGAAGGTTTATTCTATATACATATAATATATACATACATATATATATACAAATAATTAAATTCAGTTGTCCATGAAATCTTATAAAATTTTTTTTAAAGTAAAAAATAACTTTTATAATTGAAATTGAATATGTTTATTTTGAAATTTAATACAAAAAAACGAAAACGAAAAAAATGCAAATTTCAATTTTAAAAAGTTCCTTAATAATAACCATTATCATACACAGATATACATATATACACAACGTATACAGTAAGCATTTTCATAAACGCGATTCTGCAAGACAATAATGTAATAATACGCAATATATTTTTGACAGTTGTATAAAAACTTTTGCTATTTTGAATTTGCAATATTGTGTTCATGGGCCAAATAGTGGAAAATTCTATTTCTAGGAAATAGATATAGAATAAGAAATTTTTTGAAATTATGTTTTCTTCCCTTAATTGACTTTCAATCGGATTAGAATCAGACATTTAAAAAATGTAAAACTAAACTGCAAAAACTAATAAAGGAAAAGTACAGTTGATTTAACTGCGGTAGCCATGATAATTTAAATATTTTTTTTATAGGTTAGCAATGTTTGACAAACTTGATTAGCAACATTTGTTTATGAACTCAAATATAGCGCTGTTTTCACTATGTACCACAATATATTGTGTTTATGAAGAAGCCTAATAATTTAAAATAGTATTTTTTATTTTATTAATTTTTTTTTATTTATTCATATAAGTGGCAACAATGAAAACTAGACTTCTGGAATTGCTACTTAAATTAATTTTATAACTTTTATTCTCACTTATGATATAATTATATTGTATTAAATAATTTGTTAAAATAATTTTTTATTAAAAAATAATAACAATAACAATAAAATAATAAAATGAAATATAGAAAATGAAAATTAAATTTGAAAAATGGTGGCAATGAACGTAAAAAGATAATAATAGGAAATTATCAATGAAAAATGAAAAGAAAAAAAAAATAAAGTACAAATTAAGAAAAAAAAAACATGCATTTCATTGCAAAATTACCATAAATTGAAGGTCAATAAAGTAGAAAAAATAACAAAAATATAAGCAAAATAAAAAAAATTACATAAGCATTTCGTATTCCATTTAAATTTCCATACCGTTATCTCTCTCTAATTCTAACCTAAAAAAAATGTGTTTTTTCCTTTTCGAGATTTTTTTTATTTAATTAATTTCTTTTTGTTTTTTTTTTATTTATTTTTCCATATTCCAAAAATAGAAAATTCTAAAATTTTTTTTTTAAATTAACAAAAAGTTTTAGGCAAAAATTAAACGGAATGGTTTTGTTTTCGGAACGCGGAAGGCAAACAAACAAAATTTTTTTATTAACACTAGTTTTGTTTGACAACATTTTATATAAAAGAAAATAAAAACGAAAACAATTTAAATTAAAAAAAAAAATAGAAAAAATATGACAAAAATGTCATTTCAAATTTTTATTTTTTTTCTTTTAATTTTTTTCATAATAAAATAGACGGGTCCATTCAAATCATACCAAATATATACAAGTTAGTATATACGCCAAAAAATTAACGGTAAATTAAATACAACTTTTTCATAATACCAGTTATACATATAGATGTACATATATAGAGTTATAATTAATCTTTTAGTTTTATCGTAAATACGAAAATAGTTAAAAAAATTATTACCAGTTAAATGCATTCTTTTTTTACTTACTTTTATTTTTTAATTTTTTTTTGGTATATAATTCGAATTGAAGTTATTAGGTCACAAACGCAAACATATTTTAAATTTAGAAGTAAATATTGTATAATCATACATGTATGTACAGACATACAAGTTTGCTTATGTATATCTAAATATGGTTTGATGTTGTGGGGTATGTTGAAAAAATTACAATTGATTCCAAGTTAATTGTTATTAAGAAAAATTTTGTGATCCCTTCAAATAATTATTTGATAGAAAATGAATGTTTTGCATTATTTTATACATTTTATTTGATATCGTTTCATACATTTTGTATGAAATCGTTTCATACATTTTGTATGAAACCGTTTCATACATTTTGCATGATACCGTTTCATACATTTTGTATGATATCGTTTCAATCATTTTGTATTATAGTGTTTCATTTATAATTATCTAACGATCAAAACGATCAAAATTCTGTGTTATATCGTATTAGTTATCGACTAAGAGAAAAATCCCAGTAACTTTTCAATATCATCTTGTATTTTTCTTTATTAATCTTAATTAAATGTAAATGTTCACCATATTTCAAAAAAAAAAAAACAGAAAAATATTACTAAAATCACTAAAATGAAAAGCAAAAACTAGAAAAACAAAGCAATTTCTGTTAAAAGTATTTAAAGTGAAAATATCGACAAAATAAATAACTTTGCATGCAAGTAAATAATAACAATAATAATAGTAAGAGTTGCATGGTAAGTATTGAAAAATATTTTTAATTATTATTATTTTTTCTTTTTTTTTGTATATTTTAGGATTTTCAATATTAGTTTTGCTTGTTTATTATTTTCTAAATTCGGACAAACATGTGATGTGACGCTTTACATTTTTGTTATTTACCAAAACGAAAACTGTTACAAAAGTAAATGTAATGTAAATATACGTTTATATGTATAACACATATACAGTGTTTATGGTAAACTATTTTCTAGCACATTTCCAACAAAAATAGAAAAAATATGCTTATTTGTTCTTATTATTTTCTGTCCGTTTACACGTCTGTTTACAAAAATTCCACATTATTTAAGAAAAAAGTTGCAGCTTAAAACACAAATGAAGCCTTTGCAGAAAATCTGTTTCACTGTAGAAAATAATTTTTACTCATAATCTCCCATTTTTTGAGAGTCAGCGTTATAAAATGTCATTTTTGACAAATTGAAAGACAACGACTTGTTTTTTTTTTTCTTCAAATGTTTGACATAATTTTTCTCTTTAAATGCAAACTGCCAGCAATTCTGACGTGCAAGATAGGGTGAAGAATGGATTATCGTGTGTCTAATCTAAACTAACACAATTTCCATTTTTGGTAATTTGGTAATTATTATGGTTTTGTCAATTTTTCTATCAAAAATCAAATAGAATATAAAGAGAAAAACTAGCTGTAATTTTAAAAATCTGTCATATACAATGTTTTAAATAAACAACCGATAGACAAATCAAATGTGTTACTTCACAATGTTTTCTTGCCAAATTTTTGATTTATACCTCGAAGTATGCAATTACTAGAGACATGAAAGGAAATCGGCTGCTTTACAAAACAATCATTTCATCCCGATTGATTTAAGCAAAAAAAAAAAAAAATTTCATAAGACAAATAATATAACAATTAGTCTTAAATAGGAAAGAGAAAAATTTCAATATAAATTGCAAGTAATATAATAATTAAATATTTTATCAACTCATATATGGTCTAAAAAATTTTAAAAGGACCATTAAAATAGTAAATTAATTAATAGTAAACAATACATCATATATACATAACAAAATATTTACCTTTCCATATGCATTTAATGGTCCACTTATCCAACGATCTGCTTCTAAACGTCCAGTTAATAATGCACCAGTATTTGGATCAATTCTTTGCCATTCACGTATTTCACGTTGAAATGGTGTACCACTATTATTTGATCCGATTGCAACTTCCATTTTGTTTATTTTGTTTTGTATGATTACAGGTATGATTATAGATATTTATGTATTACAGATATGTATGAAGGTGTATATGAGTTCAAGCGTTTGTATTTAGAATTTATTATACTATTATAAGAGTTTAAAATTTAATTATTAATTTATTATTACAGTGTATGTCGTATAGGCTTTAATCTTTAATCTTTAGAAAAAAAAATTAAATAAAATTTTTATTACTTATCTAAATTTTTTTTTTTTTTCAAAGTCGATCTCTTTTTTGTTTTTTTTTTTAATATTTTTTCTCAACTTGCTTAAAAAGATTGTTTTTCTCTAGATATTTTTTTTTCTTTTTATCTTAATTTTTTAATATTTTTTCGTTAAAGAAATAGAATTAATTTGGCAAAAATTAAATGGAATTAAATTTTACGGTAGAAAAATTTTTAAGAGATAAAAAAAATATTTAACATGCGTTTTTAATAATTATTTTAAAATATTTAAGATTTTAGATTTATTACAGTAGATATAGCAAATGTGTATGAGACACTCTATTTTTCGCTTATTTAATTTTACTATTAAAATAATTGTGTGTGTACACAGTTAATGTAATTTTTATTTTATATATAATTTATTGTAGACGGGCTTCTCTTTTAATATAAATTTTAAAATTTGTAAATTTTTTAATAAATTCTGATATTGTGGCAGTTTATTATAATAATATGTTGAATACATATTATTAAAATTGTATACAAAGGTTGGAACACACTTGTTGGAACAGGAGGTTTTCTCGTCAATAATATCAATATAAAATCTTTTAGTTTATTTTAAGTTTCCTGTAAAGAGAAAAAAAAATAGAATATTAGTTAAAAATTTTTAATAACTTATATGAAAATATTACTCCTAAAGGTAGGCAATAAGAAAATATATTATGATATGAAGAGAATTATTGTGATCAAAATATTGTTATTCAAAAAAAAAGCTTATACCCTTCTTTATTTTTAGATACGTATAGATTGGTACAGCAATCTGGTCAGTGAAATAACCCCTAGTTAACTGTTACTAAATTGTTTACATCTTCTTGTTCAGTTATTATGGTTATTTGTACAAACACTATAGCAATCTTATGAAAACATTATTTCAACATGAATGGCTTAAAAAAAGGGACTCCAATTATTTAATTATATAAACAACAATGTAATAAAAATCATAGATTAATCTAAAATTCTAAATTAACCTCATAGATTCTTTTTCTCCAATACATTGTATGGATTTTAACTTACAACCTCTCAACTGTAAATAGTAAAATAACTTTAAAATGAAAAAGATAAATCATTTATTCAATACTTTTATTTATACCTTGTAATATAATACAAGTATATAATTTTAACCTTTTCATAACCTTGTTATAATATCAAAAAATTATTATCGTATATTAGAATCATTTAAGAATATAATAAAATAATAAATATATACGCCCGCAAAATGGTTGATTCTTTTATATAATATCAGTATATCCGTGGATAGCAAAAGATGTACCAAAGAATTTCCAAACAAAGAATATTTTCACAAGTTTGTAGTAGTTTATACTGCAGTATACCTATATGTATACGAAAAATGCACTGTAATCTATAAAATTTATAATAAAAATACCTACTTATTAGTAAATTACGATATTATGATACGTGAAACAAGAACGCATTATAAATAAAATAAAATTTACTTGATTAGCTATAAGAATGATTTCCAATCATTATCTCAATTATACTATTAAATTAAATACTTTTAATGTTTATAAAATTTACTATTTTTTATAATATTAACTTATAAATTAGGATTTTTCTACGAAAATATGAGTATTTCTGTTGGTCATATTCATATACTTAGATTTTCTAGAATTCCCCATACATACATTAATATAATAATACATCTGATCCATTACTGCATAGCTAAAGCTACAAGTCTTTAAAGTTTTTCTCATATAAAATTCAATTTTTAAGGTCAACTAACTCATTTTATTATAAATCTATGGCTACATGGTTAGATTGTAAATATATACATCTTTGAACGTATGTATGACGCGTAAATAAAAAAATAATAGCAAAAACATTAAAATAGTTGTATGCAAGTGTTATGATAAAATGAAAATAGTAAATAACGTAAGTGTGCATTCAAAGTGTGTTTATTTTTTTTTCTTATTTGCTCATTTTAGGTTTTGACGAGAGAGAAGTAGCGGTATTTGAAATTTCTTATGACGTTTATAAAGGAGGCGCTATTTTGATTGGAGTTATTGCATGTAGTATAGATACTACACACAGCTATAATACACTATAGCGACATTGTAGTATAACTTTGTCACTGCTGCATAGCAACATTGTCGGTAAAAGAGAATTCGGATTTGACAAATGTTCGAAAAGTGCTCTCAAAAATCTAATAATTAATTAAATAAAGTTTTGTAATAAAGAATATGTCTGCGGCATTTGGCCAAACGGGATAACACTGCTTTTGGTCAATTACAATTAACGTTGACTTGGCAAACGATCAAAATTTTATTGTGTCAAAACCTTGTTAGGGTAATCACAAAATGTCATGTTTAAACCGTATTTAAAAATTTTCAAATCGTCATTTTGGGGAATTTAAACAAACAAACAAACAAATTAGAATTTTAGATATTTTAGTATGGTTTTAGCGTAGACGTAAAAATCTCGATTAATATTCAAACTTTTTATTCTGTCACTCCTATAAGTATGCAATTTTTTAGAATAACTTCAATACAAATTCTGCAAATTTTATTTAATAACTTATCAAAATGGCGACAAAATAAATGTTAAATGATAAATTTTTTTTTTTAATTACATCTTAAAGTTGCTTTATCTAACTTAAATCACAAATATTTTTTAAATATAATTATACTATAAAAATACCGTATTCATACCGCTATCTCTAATGTTATTTTTTTTGTTACAAGAGTAAAATAATTAAAATAACATGCAAACTTTTATGCTATGCCTAAGTTGGAGTCAAGTGAGCATGAAATAATTATTAAATGCAAAATGAAATTGAAAAGAAAAAATAAAAATTTAAATTTGATTTTTTCAGTTTTCTTTTCTTTGCATTCAACTTTGGAATGCAAAGTTTATAACAAATTTGTATTTGAACAGAAAGAAAACTTGAAATGCAAAATTTTTTTCAAGTTAATTTTTAAATTTTAGTAATTCAACACCTTTGTTTAAGCAAATTTTAATATGAACGTGTTTAATAGTTAAATATTGAAACTAGTTTTATATTCAATAAATTATGCTAAATAGTGATAGTTGCACAGTTTTATTTAAGCTCGTGCTAGACGTAATAAATAATAAATTAATAGACTGCAATAATTAAAAATTAATCATTAAAATGTTCATTTCTCTAATTCTAGCTCCACAATATAAGGTATAATAAGTAAAATAACTCTGGCTAAGTAATTTTTGAATATGTTATTTTTTTTTTTAAATTTTTGTTTAACATTTTCTATAAAATTTCGGTGAGTTTCAATAATATCGTATAAATTAGGGAATTCTCTTCACTAATTATATTGTACGCAGTCTGCTGTTAAACCACACCATTTATATAAATATTTCAGAATTCTCAAAAAATGCGCAAAATTTTTCAGTCCTTAATCTGAAGTTGGGTATGACGTCTCTAAAGAGACAGAGAAGTAAAGATAGAGTACGTCACTAACATTTTATTGCTCTGACTATCACAAGTACAGAACATTTTTATTGAACTCATTCTTATCCACTTAACGTTTGATTGTGTTCCTTATTCTTGAATTCTGTTTATTTCGAACATACAATTTCTGAGATTTACAATGCGCTTCAAACCTATAGGGAATTCAAATATGTTGGACGCCTCTATATATTTAACACATTAAAATAATTGAGTTGATATTTTGTATTACGCAGAATTTCATACAAAATTAAAAACAAAAATTCCTGTGTGTATGAAATATGCAATCATACATTTTTTAGTATTTAAATGTTACTTTAAAATTTCATATTTTCTTTTGGAAATTTTTCACGATTTTTACTTGCATATCGTCGTGTTTAATATCTGCATGAACATGGACGACATCATTTTGCATTTTTTTTTTCTTTTATGGTTTATAAATATTACCGGTTTTTAAATGTATAACACATATTATTGTATACGTTCGTTTATATAGTTATAAATTTATATAAAATTTTTATTACACGTTTTTAACCTATAATTTGAACTTGATTTGAAATTGCAATTTTTATTTTTTCTTATTTATTATAAAAATAACAATTGTGCGTAACATAATTCTTATGTGATTTACATATACATATACAAAAAAATCATGTACAGTATTCACAAAAGTGAATATATTCGGGGGAAAAAAAACCAGTATAATAACTAATATTTTATGCTCTTATATATTACATACTTGCATTATAATATTAATAAATATATAAAATGATGGTGATGATAATAAAAATAATAATAATAATAATAATGGTAAAAATAATAGTTAATAATAGAAATGGTTATTTTCTTCATAAAATAATAGTAACAATGATGATAATAACAAAAAAAATATTAATGTGCAATGCATTGTAAATATATGTGACATAATATATACGTACATATATGTATATAATATATATATATACAGGATGTAATTGTTTTGTATTTTGAAAAGGAAATTATTCATTATGCTTTTAAAATATATATTAGTTGTATGATTGCATGATTGTATGATTGTATGATTGTATATATGTATGATTAATAGACTTGATTTATATTTGTTTGCTTGCTGTATTTTTATAAAAGAAAAAAAAATAATGAGATTTTGTTTTTATATACTCGTACATACTTGCTGTTTTACAATATATTAAATGATGAAAGCTATACTATTTTAAAATATTTTCTTTCTCTTTTTCTTTTTTTTTTGTTAATACATACTATGTTGTTTTAGTTTAATAGACCTGTTCTGATTAAATATCTATTATATGCCTATATATAATTTTTTTTCTTTTTAGTTTTATCATCTGTTTTATTTTAACTTTATGACTTTAATGGAAAATCTACATAAGTAGATTCGAGCATAATTGAATTGAGTAATATTTTTTAATAGGATATACGTAAATCTTAACGTTAAAACTATATAAGAAAAATTTGCTATACAATTGCTACTTTACAATTTGTCTGTTTGATATGAAGGAAAATTTTTTGTTTTTCAACCATTTTTTAACTTTTACTCGTAAATACAAAACTTTTTTAAATACA